AGTGATATATAATCACTCTTCAAAAAAAGGATCTTACTGTTTCTTGTATTAATTCTGTATTACATATGTAGGGTTTATGAATTGCCTCCATTTAAAGGCATCTAGGGTGATGTTAAAACATCACAATGTTATGGACTATTTCATTTCTAAATTAATATTACATAGACTACAGGCACCCATTGTGACAAAACAATTTGAGTAAATTTATCATAATTTGGGTGCCATTTTGGAATAATTTGTTTATGCGTATCTAAAGAGTTAACTGGTCAGATGTAGGCAAATTTTAGCTGTTGAGACATAAAACATGGACTTCTATACTGCACTCTTGTCATTCTTGGACGATAAGGAGGAATGATACTTCTCAATCTTTTCCTGCCTTTTGGTCCCCCTCTACCCCTAGGTTATGCTGATCATCAGTTGTTTTCTGGGAAAAAAGGTTATTGGAGGGGCTGCTTACCTTTCTCTGGCTTAGCTGATACTAACGTCTACGGAACAGACACATTTAAAGAAGTGTTCTTGTAGAGACTCACTGCCAGCCATCTAGGAAAGGAAGTTTTTTCATTTAATTATTTAACTATGGAAAACATTCCTTTAGGAGTTGTACTTGGCCCATTCCCATTCCCTCCACCTCTTGAAAAGGCTCAAAGTACTTTTCTTCAACCAAGTTTTTTTTTACCCATTTTAGGATGATATTAGTACCTTTCTTCTGCTGTTTTATTATATACAGTATAAAAATCCCCTCTTACCCCTATGGATGATATGTATCTTCCTCAGTGTCAGGTCCTCTATCAGAGGCCTGGGAGTTTGAGGGTTCTGCACAGTATCTTATAAACCTAAATCTAAATCTAAATATAATTATATATTTCATTGGGTTGCTTATCTTAGTCTAAGCTAAGTCTAAGCTGTCCTATATTTTTACTATACGTTTAACTACTTTGATCAACTTACTTGGACAGGAAGGTATTTTATAAATCAAATAAATAAAACTAAGTTTCCTTTTAAAGCTGGCTAAAGCTTTAATACAAGTACTCTCTGAACAAGCCCCATCTCATTTATTTAATTAAATTTTCAACCCACATCAGGGCAACAAAATCCAGAAATTGGTATCCCTAGTATAGACAGCAAAGGGGAGGAAAGAAGAGGGTGTTTCACTACATTCTTTGAGTGAAGGACTCCATAAAACAGGACATGATTTTTAAAAAAGAGTCCAGTTTTGAAAATAATGTGTATGAGAAATTAGAGTAGAAATTTGTAGTATAATAAATTAATATTTATTGTATTTATTATTATTTTATTATTATTATTATTTAATTAGGACTAATCAGTATCTCTCATTTTGATTTAGTCTGGAAAAGCAATATGGACATAATGGTGACTCTGTATTTAAAACCAAATGAGGTAGTTTTTTAATAACATATACTTCTTAATTCATGTCACTTAATTTTTTTTTAAACAACTATGCACATTTAGTACCTACTTGCTTGTCAGTGATTGAATATTTCACGGTTACATTAATTTATTTAAGTGTTTCTAATTTTTATAAAGAGATTCACTTGGAAATAATTCAATTAAGAGTCTATCATTTCTTTTTTGAATGTAATGAACCATGCAAATTGGGGCTGATACAAATATTCAGGCTGTACATGTCTTTGAAAAGGTACTTTGTTTTGTTGAAAATATGAATTGAAACCCTGGTAATTGAAACAGAACACCTCACTGAGGAAGATAGGCCTCAAGAATCTTGGATAATTTATTTGTTTAATTTATATTGCTGCCCATACATATGCATGACTCTGGGCTGCTAACAGTTAATGAAAACTCTATATGATAGAGAGAGATTTGACTTGGGGACAAAGAAGGATGAAAATGCTAGGATGGGATGAGCTCTTACTTGCTCTTTTTCCTCCAGGATGTTTGGGGACTTTTGACTGTAGGTATATATGTACGTATGTGTTACAATATACTGTATATCACACCTTTCCTCCAGGTGTATACTCTCTCCTTCAGTTTTTCCATAAACAAACAAACAAAAAAACTGTTTGTGTGGTCAGCTGTTCTAAAAGAGAGTGGTGGACCCAAAATCTTCCAGTGAAGTTCCATAGCTGAGGATGAGCTTGAACATCCATCTCTCTGGACATAGCCCAATACTTTAATTATTCCACAAGTATATTGGCATCTATTCTGGCAAGTAAGGGTGCTCCTCTCATACTTCTGTTTAGAATCATAGGTGTATGGTATAAACTGGGGGTGGGGGGGGGAAATTCCTAGGTTTTTTCTTGTATCTTTAAATAATTCTAGATTTCCTTCACTATCTTTAAATCATCTTCATCATTAAAAAGTACTAATTAAGATAACAGATGCAATATCAGAATAAAAATAAATGTATAAATACATTCATTTTAGTAGAACCACTTTCTTTTCTGGAAAATTTACTTCTGTAAAACTACCACCACCCCAGCAGAATATTCTAGCTTTCCCCAGCATGTTCTATCTCTTGAATTGTAAAGTTTGCCACATAATTATTAATTAGGATGATTCATTTGAAAAACAATTGACCACATGATTTAAATTTAGGAAAAAGTAGTATCTGAGTAGGACTGGAGAAACAGACTCAAAGCTCTTCTCAGCTGTGGAGCTCCTTGTGGGACCAGGACCAGTTGTGCCTCTCAGATTAACTTTCCTCATAGGATTGTAATGAGGAGAGAACTTTGATTCAATAAAAAGTACTTGAATAAAGCTGCAATAAAAATAATTTTTTAAAAGTTCTCTCAAAAATTACATCTAACACTGACTGTTGTATCTACTCCTGTTTTGAATGAATTAAGTTTAAAATCAGTAATTTCTTGATTTCAATTGTATTTCTTCTATGTTAGGATTTCTAAAGATACTGTGAGATCTTGGTCTATTAAGTATAATAAATAAAAATGATATCTCACGTAGCTACCCTATTTCCTCAAAAGATAGACAGGTCCCCCCCTCCCTCACAATTATCTGTAAATTTGGCAGAAAGATTGTATTCACTAAGAAGAATAGAAGATGCTGCTGAAAAGTGCTATTGGATATGATGTGCAAATAGCTGCAGACACTCCTGCTGGAAAGCAGGGCTGTTTGGGGGGACATAGCAACTCTTGGAAGAAATTTCAGTAACTGTTGTTTGCCACCCAGTCACGTTGTGTGAGATGGGCAGCTATATAAATACAATAAATAAGTAAGTAAGTAAGTCAACCCTTTTTACAATAGATAAACAGGGTTTATCTTGGGTTCCTTCCCTGTGCAGTTACTTCTTCCCCCAGCTTTGTCCTCCTCTTTCTCTTTGCTACCCATTACAATTATACTTTCCTCTTTCTACAATTCCATTGTGTCCACCACCCTTCCCACCCCTTATTTTTGTTTCACTGGAAAGAAGGAGGGAAATGTGTATGGATGTACATTTGTGTATCTGTGAAAGAGTGGTTTGTGTGTGAGGGAATAGTTCATATATATAAATAGGGATCTATTTTACAAATGGAGTACCTTATTTTATAGGAAATTATTTTCAATCAATAGTTATTAATTTCATTAATATCAATTTTTCTTTTGTCCTGGTTTTGGCACATTTTGGAATGTAACTTTTGGAAGGAGTGTGTGCATAGATATACACTTACACACATGAATACAGATCGTCCTCCCTTAGCAACCACAGTTGGGACTGGCAGCTCAGTTGCTAAGTGGAAAATCACCATGACAGGCTTATAATGTTACTTCCCATTTGGTCATTAAGGGAATCGCTACATTCGTTAAGCAAGACATTGTGATTTTACTTCTGCGTTCTTCATTAACTCTGCTTGTCGGAAGCTGGTTGTGAAGCATGCAGATAGCGATTGTGTGACTGCAGGATGCTGTGACAGTTGTAAATGTGAGCACTGGTTGCAAAACTGTTTTTTTACACCTTTGTAACTTTGAAGGGTCGCTAAATGAGGGAGTCAATAAGTGAGGACTACCTCTATGTGCACAAATATAAAAGAGTGTCACACACACCATTTATGGGGAGAGGGTCGTCCAGGACTGGTTTCAATTGAATAAGCAATCCTGTGTTGGCAAAGTGGGGAAAGCTGGGCATTACACAGGAGTTTTGGATTTAGAACATTTCTCTGTCAATTATTCTTTGGAGGGGGGCATTTTAGGTTCCGGGGATTATTCCTTTCAAGTTAATGTCATAATCCAATAATGTCAATGAACTTAATTAGTTAAAGGAATATTTTTCTCATATCATTACATCAATCCTCTGAGCCCTATTTGTGTCAGACTGGAAAATGTTAATCTCAGGAAGCATCTTATTCTAGTATACTGTAAGTTTCACATTATAATGTAATACTGCAGTGGAAGGAAAAGCTGGCAATTGTTCTGCTGACAAGACTAAAACTGTCACTTGCATTAATCCTCAGTTGGAACTGGCACTAAAAATAGAACTGCGACAGCTGACATTTTTCTTTTAAAAGCCCTCTCCATCTAAATATAGAAAGGCCTATGTTGGCTCTCACAGGAATTGTTACATGCACAAGCCATGGCGTCCATAAATAACCATGGCATCTCCCCTGGTAACAATACATAACATGCCCTCTGGATTGCTGGGAATTCAGCTCCCCTGTCCAGCTGGGATTGTCTCAGCTGTCAAGCCTTAATTTTCAAAAGCAATTTCACCTCACTGGCCTATATAACATTATAAAAAGAGCTATGAAATGTTTTAGAGGCAGAGATCTTAGCTATTGCAACGTGTGTCCTTTTTATTAGATGAGCAAGGAATCAGCGCAGTCCTCGGACTGGAACAAAGTAGAGATTAATTAACTATGCAAGGAAATAGCCAAGGCACAGAAGATCTCATAGAAGGGGCAGTTGCTTGCTGTCAGGTTGTTTTTTTTCCCTTTTGCAACTGTATCCACATACACCATTTTTTAAAGGATGTGTGGCAATGCTGACTCTCTCTCTCTCCTCCTTCCTCTTCTTCCCACCTGGTTCCTTAGGTGGGAGAGTTCAGAGCTCATGCAGCTGAGTGGACAGCCAATGTTACTGCAGAGTTCAAAGAAACCCGCCGGCGACTGAGCGTTGAGATCTATGACAAGTTCCAGCGGGCTACCTCCATCAAAAGAAAGCTGTCTGCAGAAATGGCAGTGAATCACAGCCAAGACCTGACTCCTTGCAAAAGAACCTTGTCCGTCAACCACCTCACCAGCGAGAAAGATATCTTGCCTGCCATCACAAAGACAGATAGCATTTATATGAATGGCTTGACTCCTCACTGTGCAGCTGAAGAAATTGCTGTGATTGAGAACATTAAGTAGCAGTGACTTTGAATCCTGATCTTTTAATAAGAAGCCACCTATCGTTTAGACTTATCTTGTAGGTCCTGATTATTTTCCCCTCTGTCCATAACCGATGCCGATAGCATTTTTTAAAAATCATATGCATGAGTTCCAACAGAAATCCGCCCACAATATGGATTCAGAGTCATCATTATATTTCTTGAAAGACACAAGACGAATGGCACTTTGGTCATTGACAAATGCTGGACCAAGCAATGGTCAATGCCTTTTTAAAAAAAATTTGGTGCCCAGACTGGTTTTTGCTTTTGCTTTTGTTTTTTCCATCTCTCCTGTTGTGCCACAAGGCGTTAAGAATGAATAATGCTGGTTTAGGTTAACAATGTAGCTTTGAGAGATCAGTCCTTAAACTTTTCAGGGTCTACCATGCCAAGCCTAGGAATGGACCATACATGGACTACAATCTATATGTAAATGGCAAGAAAATCTTATGCAGCCTTTTACCTAAGAAATTTTTGTCAGTGCCTTATCTTTTAAAGAAACAGAACCTCTATAACTTTCATATGGGTTTTTGTTAGTTTGTTGGTTGGTTCTTGCATGAGTACTATATCTCATGTTTATATTTCCTCTTGCCCTCCCCCTAATCATGTTTTAAGGATGTCTAAAGCCAAGGATACCAGCGTTAAGAAATATGCCAAATCAAGGACATCAAAATGCCACTTCTAATCTAGCTTTAAAGGCACTGCAATTATAAGGGTTGCAAAAGGTGTCCCCTATAAGTTTTTGTTTTTTTTTTTTAAACTCAGGTGCAGATAATACATGTACACTCAATTGATATGTAGAATTTATGGATCCATGTTGGGTCTCATTAGTTATAGTCAACTTTTCATACCCATGCACCATGTACCAAAAATCTTCAGTTTTGTATTAGTAAATTATCTGACAAGAGTTATAACTTGGTGCAATAGATTCCTTTGCATATAAAGAATGCAGAACAATCCTGAATCAGCAGCAGGTCAGTTACTAGTAAATGCAGTGCTGCGGGCAGAAAAGAGTTCAGGTTTTTTTCCTTTGTTTGTTTTAGCTGTGTCATGCTAGATGCTCACTTAGCACAGGGATTGTGCCTGCTGGATTGCTTTCCTTGAATGTTACATCCTACACTTTTGCCCACTGCAGCTGGGCATAAAAGTAGGAATGCAATTGAAACTGGCATCACTGTGACTTTCAACACCAAGGATTTAGAGGGTATCTGAAGACAAATGCAGACATGGAAAATAGTTGATCAATAGCACAATCAGACTACGATTGAACAGACAGTTCTTGGTTGGTTATAATAGGCTGATACGCAGATCTGAAACCAATCCTTAGGATTTCTTTGATTGTTTTAAAGGAAAATAACTTAATTTTATAGCCTCTTGTGTCTTCTGTTTCTAAGTGTGTGTATGAGATTCAGAAGGAACGCAGAATTTAAAATAATGGAATGGAATGGCTTGTCTTTTAAATTGTTTTCAACATTTTATTCTATTGCAACCTGGCTGTATATAAATACCCCTTAAAAGATTAATAGGCAGCCTGATCCTCAAAGCATAACTAAGGTGCAAGACTCCACTGAAATAACAGGAGCTTACACTTACAGAGCTATTTGAGGCCTTCACTCTTGGCTCTGAGTATTTAATACAAAATGGGACTTCAATTGGATTCTGTTCAAATAACAAATCCATATCATTTGATTATTAATAGCAGTATAAACTATGAATGTTAAATTTATGAATGCTTCATTTTTTTCTAACAAATCTAAGTTATAGGTGTAAATAGCGATCAGTGAAGAGTTAACAAGAGTGTACATCTCAGATCAGTAAGGTTCCATTAAATATATATCAGGCCAAGCTCTTCAAAGAAAAGGCCCCATCACCACCATTGACCCCCCAGCACAGTGTTCTGAATGTCAACATGGTAAGAAAAGTTGTCTTACCATGTATAAACTGTGAATTGTAATGAAAATAAAAAAATAATAAAGTTTTTAATTAAAAAAACCTGTCTTCCTGAGTCTCCTACTTGTTGCTATTTTAATGCTGGGAAAATGTTTGTAAAATCAGGACAGTGGAGCTCTGGAATTAGGATGATTTCTACACCCAATTGCAGCCATCTTAATTTTAGCAAATAAAATTATTTTGGCAGATATAAAACAGTCTGTCCTTTCAGAATCATTTTGTTTCTTCTCCGATTAATTGTCTGGGGTTTTTTCCCTGCGGTTACTGCTTTATACCTGCATTTTGTCTTAAACACATTGACCGTAATGCAGCAAGCACAAAGTGATACAATAGAGCATTCTCATTTCTGCCCATAAGAGCTGTCTTGTCTCTAAAGTGCTATTGCAACGCACGACTTTTATCTCTAGAACACACACTCACACACACACATTTAGACATAGCTTAAATGAAGTTGGGTCTAGGAAAAGCTGCTTTATGGAAAGTCTTTTTATAAGCCCAGTTGTATATACTCACACATCTCATGACTGTAACAAAGTAGATTTCTCAGAACACAGCATGGTTCCCAAACAATAGTTATCAGATCCAGCTATTTAGCTTTTGCGGGGAGGGTGGGGGGATGAACTCCAATCCAGATTCATCTCTCTGTAGATCTGGATATGGATTTTTGATAGATCTTGAAGTCTTCATTTTAATAGTGATACATGTCTTGTATTTAATGGAACATGTATACCAGGAAGGCTCCTCTGGCTAAATCAAAAAGGATGCTAGCTATTTCTGATAGGGGAGCTCGATGACTAGATTGAACTATCTTATACATAAAAAACTCTATAGTAATAGAAAAACATCATTACCAGGATAATATTTTACCCTTTCTTCTTTGACCAGGGATTCTGCATTTATTGTTTATTTTGGTATGAAATAGCTTTGTGATGGGTAGCCTGAAACCAAACATCTAGAAACAAGCTGGAGGTTGAGTCATGGCAACTGGACTTCTTTTCTTTTGGTTTGATAGGCTCCTCTGCTTGTCCAAGCAGCTTCTTCAGACCCAAGAATATAGGACAGTATTTACATAAAGCAGATGTTGATCCAGTAGGTGCCTATATATGCAGAAGGATAGTTGTATCCTTCTTTATATGGTTGTTCTTTTTGTACCATCTCCTAACTGGAGGTTGGTGACCATCAGAGCTATGCATTCTTTTGGTGTTGCTCTATTTGCTCACAGCCACTGATGATTTTCTGGGGAAATGTAGTGCTGCAGGGGTTTTCCATTGCCTTCTACAACATTACATGGTTGTTAAAAGAGTTCAGCCCAACTTTGTATGTGATTATATTCTGAAGGGTTATATAACTGCTACATATTATTATTATTAGGAATTCTTTTGAGGCACAGTCAGTCCAGCACAGTCTGTGTCTTTCCAAACTGAACTCAGCCCACTGGATTAAGGCTGAAAAACTAATGAGAACTGGAAAAACAGGTCATTGGGTGCTTCTGACTGGCTGCATTCAGCTTGGAGGGCCAAAAGTTTTACATTATATGTTACAAAGGATAAATGTATTGTTCCATTTAAGGAAGTATTTCAGGGTCAGTATTGTGGCTGAAAGCTATGTGCTTTGTGTTTGATCATTTGCAGGTTCTGCTTATTGTTAAAATCTATAATCTATTTTCTTTTCATTTTTAAAATATCCAAAAGTACATCTACCCAATATATTTGTTGCCTCTGGTTGAGTTTTACTAGCAAAAGTAGTTGATTCCTTGAAAAGGAAGAGTTGTCATAAAAAAGGACATCTGCAGAGTCTGCAATCTGGTTTGACTTTCCTACTGTGGAGAAAAGAATGATTTGGGTTCCTTCTAATTCTCCAGCCTCTGAATTCTTGATCATCAATTTTTGTTCTCCTGACAGGATCTCCTGACAGGAATAGTTCTGGTACATAATACTGGTTCATGATAGTTCCTTTACAAAATAAACAGGGAGATATCCAAAATATGTGGATAATTGGGTCTCTGAATATTACTTTAATAACTGGAAATAGAGTGAATCATACATATGTTCGGATGTAACATATTACTGTCCTCATTCCTGTCACCAGTTTTATAATTCCTCCCTCTTTTATCTGTTTACCCTCTTTCATTTACTTTATTTTTACATCTTTATTTCTACAGAGTTTTGGTCCTTAGACTCAGAGGTTATTTGGAATCACCTGATGCCTAAAAATGATGTTAATTATTTTCATTTCCCCATTGGTAGAATAGTTGTTCAGATGTGAAGAAAGAATGTTTAATAATAGCAATGGTGAAAGTACCCAGTAGAACTCCTGTTATAGTGTGATGTGTATTTATTTATACCACTGATAGATAAACTGACATAAAAGGAAGTAATCAATTTACTGATATAGCCAGGATTAATTACCAAGAATCAGATTATGAAAGGGATATTTTCTCAGAGAAGGCTAATTGTTGAAATCCATATAAACTTTATAATAGCATTATATCTGGAAACTCTTAGCCACAGTACACTGCTTCATGATGCAACCAGGCAAGGCAACAGGTTCTTGAAATGTGAAACGGTGTGCCTTATTACATCACACAGCAGCATGAACTTTTCAGCTTCTCCAGGTTCACTACAAATAACCCATAACTCAAATTCTTTACTGGTGAACATACTCTTCTTGTGTATAGCAATCACTTCCCTAGTATTGTTTGCTAATCAGGAATTGGTGGGTAGGTCAGTAAGCATTTTAAAAGTTCCTTATAAAATGACAGACATTCATGTATATGCAAGCAATCAGAATCACGTTTCTTTTTCTCCAGGATGTCTTAAGTCTCATTTCTTTCCACCTTCCCAGCATTATAGGCTTCTCAAGAGAGTTAACTCTTCACCTAATGTGTCCAAAATATGATAATTTGAGCCTGGTCATTTGTGCCTCAAGTGAGAAGTCTGAATTTTTCTATGATCCATTTTTTCCCCCTTTCCTTGACTATCCATGGAGTCTTCTCCAACACCAAAGTTCAAAAGCATCAATACTCTTTCTATTCTGCTCCTTCAAACTCCAACTTTTACTTTCATGGATTCAATTTTGTCACTGAGAAAACCATTGCCTGCATGATTCTGATGTTTTTAGGTATAGACACATCAGGGTATCTGAATATCTTTTCCAAGGCCTTCATGGCTGCCCTACCAAGTGCTAGTCTGTGGCATGTTTCTTGACTGCTTGTTCCTTTGCAGTTGATGGTTGACCCTAAAGGGCAGAAGCTGTCCACCACTTCAGTATCTTCATTGTCAGTTCTAAGGCTGGTTGCTGTACCTGTTGTCATTAGTTTAATCCACTTATATTTAATCTTAATTCCCATTTTTCACTAAGCTTTTTGAATTAAGAACCTGTGCTATTGGCTAATTGAATTTTTAAGGAAAAGGATGAGAATGTATTTAATTTCTTGGCTATTCTCCCTTAGCAATAACACTTAGGGATGGCTCCACTAGCTTGAAAGCAGAGAAGGCCATTTTCACCAATTCCTGCAATTTGGTCTAACCCATGATAAAAGACAGGACAAGTGACATAATACACAGGTAACAAAGGGGCAATCCCATAATCCCCATGTTCAGGATACTCTCATTGTACATATGATCTGCAGAAAATTCTCAGAGTGAACATATGTTCCTTAAACTTAATCAAGAGAGACAATTTTGAACTAGCGAGGGAAATTAACCCGTCCTTATCAATTACCATCTCTACAACAACAACAAAATTAGCAATGAATGTGACCATCTACTGCCAATTTCAATGTGTAGGAAATTAATATTAGCCTGAATCTTTATTGCTTTATACCTTTGAAGGTAGGAATACTGATAGAAAAGCCTTACAACAACATTCTATTTATTTATTTGTCTGTGCAATTTCTCATCCACCTCAATCCTAATAGACTTTAAGCAGTTTGTAGTGTTGACAAATTAGATCCTTGCACATGCCACCGAATGATAATTAATAATTGTTTTTTATCCCTATAAGTGTTTACTATCTATAGTAAACATTTTTCTCAGATCAAAAAATAAGTTAATAAAATACTTGAATAGTAGCTTAATAGGTTTATTTTGTTTGTCTATTTGTTTGTTTGTTTGCTTATTTATTTATTTATTAAACGAATTTATATAGCCACCCATCTCACCACCGGCAACCCTGGGTGGCATACAACAAAGCTAAAGACAATCAATAAATACATTAGAAATATAAAAAGCAAAATAAAACAGAAACAAAATAAAAAGATGTTAAAAATAAGAGAGCCACCTCACTAATTCCCCTGTCCCCTGGGGTCCCCGGGCCTGCTGGCATAACCAAGTCTTAAGGGACCTCCGGAAACCCAACAATGACTTAGGTTATTGCTACAATGGCATTCATTTGAGTGATATCCTTTCTTTCTGCAAAGGTTTACAAGTTATATATAAAATGAACACCGGAATTAATTAATACTTAAAGCCTGGTAACAGAGATGCATCTTTACAGATTTCTAAAGACTAAGAGGGGCATATATAATTCTTGAGAGAATGCATGCCATAACCTGGGAGCAACACAGGAAAAGTCCTCTCCTGTGTGCTACAACACTGAGCATCTGACAGCAGGAGAATCTCTGAAAAGTTCCTGAAGTTCTTAAGAATTGGGGAGGTTTGTAACAAGATAGGAGATCCCTAGATAATTAGGCTCTATGCCATTCAGGGCTTTAAAATACCAAAATCTTAATTTGTGTCCAGGATCTGATAACTAGACCAGATATTTAAGTGCAGTCATCCTGTGATCCTTGGTCCTTGAAGTGGTTAGCAGTCTAGCTGCCTTCTTTTATACCAATTGCAAATTCCAGACACTTTTCAAGAGAATCACCATGATTCAGCTGTGCTGTAATCTTGACTATGACAGTGATTACCAGTATGTAAATCACTGTTCAGACA